CAGGTTTTATTTTGTGCATCAACATAACAGATATCCATACAGCAGTGGAAATAACGTTGATCCTGTCACATTTGCCATGCAAAAACAGTGCAAAATTAAACGCGCACACTGTGTGTGTGTGTCTGTGTGTGTGCGTGAACTTTGTAAAGACATTGTGTGTGACTCATCGTTGCAGAAAGGCTTGAATTAACTCCGCAACAAATACATCAAATAATCATTGGGAAAGGTCTTACTGTAGTATCTCTTACAAATGTTACGTGAGATCTGCTTCCTTCATGTCTGTCACTGTGCTGTTTATCTGACGCAGCCGAGGCACACTCTGACAGGCACGTGGGAATGATGGGTGGGGAAAACTAGCTTTAAAGGCACAGGCAACAAAAACAGCTACAAGATACTCAGAGCTGAAAATGACAAACTTCTGAAAGCTATTATAAATGATCTGATGGGTGTTTTGAGCTGAAACTTTACAGACAGTCTGGAGACACAAAAGACTTCTTTTAAATCTCGAAAAAGGGGTAAAATAGGTGCCCTTTAATGCAACACAGCATATTTTAGAGTATAACAATGAAGCATAGAATATGCATTGTTGAGGAAAAAAGTAATATGTAACAATCTTGCGTACGTCTCTTAAAAAAAACGTAACAATGTGTTACTTAGTTTATTTTCAAGGAAAGTAATGTGTTCCGCATAACTGAGTGCACCCTATTTTAAAAATGAATCATTTTATCCCTTTCTCAGTGAATATGGGTATATATTGGTGAATCTGAACAAAACATATTTATTAACTGGATATATTTATTAAAATAATATTTTAATCACTGAACATCTTTAATTGTTCAGTGATTAAAAGATAATAGATTTACATTTATGCAAAGTATTGAAAAATAATACAAACTACAAAATTTCAACTAAATGTAATACATTTTTTGTTTTTCTTGAATTTTACTTTTTTTTAATTCTTTGTTTATTTTTTAATGAACTTACAAACAAAAACTAAAAGGACAAAGACAAGGATACCAGTAGACAAGTATAGCAGCAAAAGTCATAAAAATAAATAAATAAATAATAAAAATACACGATCAGAATACAAAAGTCATAATAAACAAAAAAAGTTCTGCTGTGACTGAGTAAAGTCACATTACTATGAAAATACACGAGGGCATCAAAGTTTCATTAGAGGTATTCATATTTTTTGAAAGACATCCCCTTTGTTTCTTAAGTAGTATGTATATTGTTCCAAGAGCATTGTTTCATTCAAGAGTTGTATTAACAGTTGAAATGTTGGAGGCCTTTGTTGGTTCCAGTTGACCAAAATGCATGTTTTGCTAGATAGGAAGTAATGCTGAGTCTCTTTTATAAAAGTCGGATCAAATGTCTTGTTCAGTTCTGTCATCAAAGAGTTATTCTGTTGGTGTGCTGTCTGATGGAGTTTGCAAAGCTTTGGCTGTGAAGTCCTGTACTGCTTTCTTGAAAAATGTTAGCTTTTTGCATTCCCAAAAACATGCATGATTGATCCTGAATAGGTTTTACCTCTGTAACATTTTGCTCATTTAAAAAAAATTTATTTAATATTTTATTGTTTAATTTTGGACTGTTATGATTAGTTTTGTTAGATTAGCTCCAGATTTAACTTCAGTACTGACTATTCTAATGTATATGCACAAATATAATATTGTAAAGCTTCCAAAAATATAAAAATTGTATGTAAATATTAAGTTAAAATATAAATTTAAAGTAGCTAATATAGGCTTAAAACTGTAATATATTACTTTTTTTACGTTGAGCATGTGTAAGAATTATCCTTTAATATTATCAGAGGTTAATTAAACCTACGTCTGGCGTGATCCACAATTCTCTGCCATTACACAAACTGGCCGCAAGATGTCGCGCGCGTAACACGGTTGAGAGATCAAGTTCAAGTCGAAACCTTACAGAAGAGGGCAGAAACTCTCCATCTGTGATAAACACAATACAACCAAGTAAAAATGTATAGATTATTCTCTCAGAAACTTGCCGATGTATAAAATAATGAAAAATAATATTCATAAACGCATTTATCAGGTTTTATTTAGCAAATTCTGAAGTAGGCAAACAATATTTTCACTGTACAAAATTATATGATCAATTAGCATATGCTTTAGGTCATTGTAACCTATTCAACTAAGTTAGAACATGATTAAATCAGTTTAATAAGTTACGGAAGCTGTTTTAAGTCAGTTTATCGTAATAAAAGTTCAATGGACTCAAGGTTAATTTGTTTCGTACAAGTATAAGGCAGCCAGGATTTTTATAGTGTTGTTGACATCCGGAGATTTTGTCACTCGTGACAAAAAACGCTATTTATAATTATATGATCGGGTGATTCTGTTATGAATTAGCTTTAAAGACACACAAACAGGAAAAGTCATTGGTATGTCCTCAAATGTGTTTGTGTGGTCGGTAGGGCTGCGCAATATATTGTTTCAGCATCGATATCGCAATGTGTGCATCCGCAATATAATCACATCGCAAAGATATGCAATGTTGAGGTGACTTTGCGATGTATGTAAATTACATTTACATATGCAGAACCTTAATGCATGCACTGTTCATTTAACTTATCTTTGCTTTGTTGCATTTATCTATGCTTTTAGTTTGTTTGTTCCATGTTCTGCATGATTCACTTCCCTATACAGAAAAGTCCAAATCAAAATTAATACATTCGGTAACACTTTACCAATTCTCACTATTAATTAGTTGCTTATTAGCATGCATTCCAGCAAACATTTTTTATTTATTATTATTTTTTTAAAGATGTCTAATAGACGTCTAAACATAGTCGTCTTGGGTAAAACAGAGCTCCATTTCAGTGAAAATCTAATAGACGTCTAAGAATAGGCTAAAGCTAGACCAGTCATCAAATAAACCGAAATGAATGACTACACATATAATGTCTGTTTAATCGGTCTATTTGACGGCTTGTCTAGTTTTGGGCTATTCTTAAATGTCTATTAGATTTTCACTGACAGCACAAGTTTAGCCTTGTTTTAGCCAAGCTGTCTATATGTCTATTAGATGTCTATTACACACAAAATTGTTTGCTGGGATATCCTTGAGATATTGGCTCTTACTAGCATATTAAGCACATGCTGCGTTTAATGTTACATCCTTAATTACCTATTAATGAGCAAATTAGTAGCTTATTGAAGCGAAAGTCAAAATGGTTTGTGAGAACTGAACCCTAAAATAAAGCGTGAAGAAAAATTATTTCCACATATAATAAAATGCATGGCAATATATATTTTGCAATGTCGTGCAGCCCTAGTGGTCGGGTTCATTTGCACGCACGTGCTGAAGATATTTTAGACCATTTCAATCATGTTATTGGCCCATGTACATTTCCTGCTTGTTATTTAACCATTTCGTAACAAGAGGCAATTCAATCATAACTCAATGATAAAACCGCTATCACAACATTGTTTGGCAGTATTTTTGGATTGTCGGAAGCTATAGAAATTAATAATGTAATCTGGGAACATTGTTAGTGTTTACGTCCCTCAAAATGGTGTATAAGTTGTGTACGGGTCTGAACATATATTGATCGTCGTTTTTGTCTGATTTTTGTTTTTATCTTATTCATGAATATTATTTAACTTGTTTTAAATATCTAATTTGATCAATTAAATTATAATTTAGGTTACTCTTAAACATTTAGTAAAAAAAACCTCTTAAGACATTTTCTCAGAGTTAACATCATTATTTTTTTATTAATATATTGCTATATTAATAATTTATTATTTATTAATAAATACAATTATTATATTATTAATATAATAATATTATTTATTAATAAAAATAATATAATATATAAATAATTTATTGTTAATAAGATATTATTAAAACAATTATGCCATTTTCGTTACAATTTCTAACCACAATTACCACAAATATCATGGTTGAAGTATGGCTATTGTATCAAAACCATGGTTAATTTGTAACCACAATAGCCGTGTTTTTGTTTTATTTATATGATAAATCAGTGGTCAGATTTCCCAAGGGGTTTAAACGCTAAATATTAGTTTAAAATCATTAAGTTCTGGTTGTTTTTGTTGTGAGTTTCTTGAGCGTTTCCTCAAGAGGACTTTTATTTGCATTTTATCTTTTGAACTTTGAGATAATTACTTTCCGAGTAAACTAGGTCGAGTGGATCTCATCTTCTGGTGTATTAAACTGAAGCGAAACTTTATTTATTGAACGTCACACATGCATCTAGAACTGCCCGAACTGATAACACGCATCTCGTGATCAATAAATGCGCTAATTACGCGTCAGGACTGTTTGGGTTTTCCTCAAGATTGTGTTGGTGTTTTGGATGTTATAGCCGCTGATTATCGAAACGTACTAAGATCAGACAGCGGTTTCCTACCAAATATATGAATATGAAGCGCTTTTATCTTGTTGAAAACCTTCGCATCGATCTGTCAGTCAGTTATTGACTTTGTAAAGCCTTCTGGTGCAACATCATTCCGGTCTTTCTCTCTGCTCTTAATGATCTCTGCTGTGCGTGAGCGCTCATTAATTCCACATCACCCATGTTTATTCACATTTAATATGTGTTCCGTCATAATTAAAACGCATTTAGAATCGAGTTTTACTGCATTGTAGGTTTAATTATGAACTTACGACAAGATTTTAATTACAATAAATACTTTAGTTGTGTTTATTTAAATCTATTCATCTACTGCTGATAATCATGGCCTTCAGATAGAAGGTAACTTGTCAGATATCCAAATGCAGATGTAAAAATGCCTGTGGTCTGAGTAAAAACGATCCTAAACATGTAAAACAGCTGCAGGTGAGTGAGAAATTTGGCTGAAGCAGGTTGGTAAGCTGAGATATGTGATCGATTAATCAATAGTGTGTTGTCTGTGTCAAATCTATAAGCGTAGCATCTCAAATGCACATCAAATATGATTCATATTCAAGCAGCATCACAAGAATTCCAGTCCAGACAGGTGAGCTAATATAAGACTTTGAGCAATATGCTTTATTGAACACCAGTAGTTTGCATGTAGGGTTATTTCATATATGTAGTTCAAAGCCTACAAGAAAAGATTGAATTTATATATTTATATATAACTTTTTTTACAAATGCAGTCAGAGTTTTGTGTTCTGGTACAACAGTGGGGGATTTCCTTTTCGGATGGTGTACAAAGTTTAACATGCACATTATACAGTAGTTAACAGGGAAAGTTACCTGTAATATTTTTACAGTCTCAAACTGACCTCAAACGAGGCCTCGCCAGAAATGGAATGTGAGTCTTTTTTTATTTAATAAAAGATATTGCATTTTTAAAATCGTTATTTAAACTAATTACAGACAAACTTTAAGCAAAATAACTTCTTCAATAACTTAGAAAATAATGAAATGGTTTGCGTTTTTTTTTTTGCGGGCAGTGAGAATGGTGAGTGGTTTGTACATACAGTCAGACTCTCATACAGGGAAAGCTGAGGTTGTTGGAAGGTATGCCAGTTGTAGAAATGAATGCATATGGAATAAAAACCCAGTAACCCCGCCCCTAGTAGCCACACCCTGAACAAGTCCCGCCCATCAGGGCTCAGTCAGGACAGCGGCCACTTCTGTGTCATTCAGAGTCATTCCGTCTTCTCGATTTTACCGTCTTTTGTCGGTGCCTCGGTTTTGCGCAGTGTTTTGTCCGAGTTGGAGTTGATCTGATTGGTGTCCGGCGTTCCTGTGCTCTTATTTGCTGAGTGTTTCTCCAAGTAATTGAGCATTTCGCTGAGAATCGTTTGAAAGGTGCTAAGAGCTGCACAAATCGCCGGCGTACCAAATCCATGCGTGATCAGACTGAAAAAGACAGTGGAAAGCAGTTGTCAATAACAATCCTTCATTTAGTACATCCTCCTCACTGTTAGTCATTTAAAATTCCACTGACTTTGGCTTTTTGAAAACAGTTCATGTTGCAAACTGGTATTTGTTCTTGTATTATTCAGGGCGTCTGTGGGGTTTTAAAATGTCTTAAATTTCATTGTCTTTAAATCATTTTAAACAGGTCTTCATTTTGCTTTGTCTTAGTAAAGCTGCACAATTTGGGCCGACATCCACCCAGTGTCCAACAATACATCTATTGCAAAGAGAAGCAATTCACAGCAGCTGTTAGACATTTTTACAGCAAACTCCCCAAATTAAATTCCATAATCAGGAAAAGAAAACTAAAAACATTGAAATGTTTCCTCATGATAATAGAATTAGTGCTGTAAAAGTCTAAAATTTAATTCTTAATGGTCTTCAAAGGGTCTTAAAAAGTCCTAAATTTGACTTTATGAAACCTGCAGAGAGCCTGATTATTGTCAGCACAAACACATTGTTTTTTTTCCAGTGTTATAGAAGCTATATAGAAATAGCTTACTTTCACAATGCAAAACAATCAACTGGTGCTATTTTTGCAGGCAGGTTTTGGCTCTTTACCTGAAGTGTGTTAGATGTCTCTGAATGTCCAAGTCCAGAATTGGTGTTGGTCTAGAGGAACCGAGCGGTGATCGATCCTGACTTAACAAATCCTGAAATTCTTTACAGATCTGCCTGCAGAAACAGCCACACACACAGTTAAACACCTCGGCGAGTAAAACAAAAGCAGCATTCTTATAATTAATGTATAAAGGAGAGTTCATGAGAGCTTTCACCCAATTATCAGAAATTACACCATTTCTAATTCCCAGAATATTCTCAGGTGAAGTTTTGGATGTGTTGCAAAACATGAGTTTCTAAAAAAAAGGGAAATAAATAAAAATAAAAGTAAAATAAAGCCTAAATAATGGTCCTTTAATGGCATTGATGGCTCTTTGAAGATCCTTGAACATTCCATTTGGAACATGTTCTATGTAATGGAAAAAGGATTCTGGATTCCTTTTTAATCATTTAACCAGTAAACCCCACATCTTGGCCTAAAGAGAAATCAGTTTTGGAGATATTTACAGATTAGACGTCTTTTAAATAGTGAAAAAAAGGCTGTGGTTATCATTCTGTGCTTAAAACTGTTTGGAGTAAAGATCTCAATTGTACATTTAGGAGTAGAAATTTAGGAGTGCGGTTTATACACGGTTTATAATTTGAATCGTTTTTATTGGACTTTAGTGGAGTAGGCTCCTTAGGCTTGGGTTGAAGGACTCTGCTGGAGATGTGAGAGCGAAAAAGGAGACTTGATGCATGCCCTGTGGTCCTGTACTAAAATACATTAATTCTAGGTTAATGTGCACAGTTACATTCAGGATGTTTCTGGATGCTGCTTTTTGTTTTGTCCTTGAATATATGTACTGGGAGACCCGTCCGTGTTGGGGTCTGGTGTGAAGATGTCTGAGTGGATTCAAATAAGTATTATGATTGAAAGATAAATCATTATGAGGTGCATTCAGCAGGTCTACCATAATTTTAAGAATGGGTTACGGAATTGGGGAAGGTGGCAGCATACTGAATGAAAAAATGACATGTGCTCAGCATAATTGAGTGCACCCCACTTTGAAGATGAATATTTGTATTAATTTCTCTGTGAATATAGGCAATGTATTTTGGTGCATTTGAACAAAACAGATTTATTAAACAGATATTTTTATTAAAATAATATTTTAGCCACCATTTAGAAATTGAAAGATAATACAATTAAATTCAAGCAAAAAAATAAATTACAACCTACAAAATTTCAACTAAATTCTTCAATCCTTTTGCTTCTCTTGATTTTTCCCTTTTTTTTAAATTTGTATTTAACATTTTTTATATACATTTTTGACTGTTATCGTAAGTTATTATGTTAGATAAGCTCCAGATTTGACTTCAGTACTGACTAATCAAATGTATCTGCACAAATGTAATATTGTATAGCATCTTATTAAAATATGAATTGAAAAGAGAGATTTGAGAGGGGTGTACTTATTTATGCTGATCACTGTAGATTACTTGATAAATTGGATGTTTATCAGAGAAGATGGGGAAATTATTGAGATTTTTGGAGGATGAATGCACATGGCAAAAGTATAATTATCTTATTTTTTCTGTATTTACTGGATTTAACATGGGTGACATGGTGGCGCAGTGGGTGGCACGATCGCCTCACAGCAAGAAGGTCGCTTGGTCAAGCCCCGGCTGGCTTAGTTGGCATTTCTGTGTGGAGTTTGCATGTTCTCCCAGTGTTGGCGTGGGTTTCTTCTGGGTACTCCGGTTTCCGCCACAGTCTAAACACATGCGCTATAAGTGAACTGAATAAACTAAACTGGTCGTAGTGTGTGTGTGTGTGTGTGTGTGTGTGTGTGTGTGTGTGTGTGTGTGTGTGTGAGTGAATGCAAAACTCTATGGGTTGCAGCTGGAAGGACATCCGCTGCTTAAAAAATATGCTGGATAAGTTGGCGATTCATTCTGCTGTGGCAACCCCTGATTAATAAAGGGACTAAGCCAAAAAGAAAAAGAATGGATGATAGCAAATCTAATTACTGTAACTGCCGCTGTTGGGGAGGGGAAAGGGGGATGTGATAATGTGTAAACTCATGGAACTGTTAAAGTATTGAAGAAAATAAAAAAACGAATCATAATAAAAAGTCCTTTTAAGAAACTCAAATATTTTTGAGAAGCCAAAAATGGTTTCCCACTGCAAAAACCTCCTTTTGGCATCTTTATTTTTCTGAATGTAAACAGAGCGAAAGCCTTTGGGTGTAAATGAAGGCTTCATTTAGCATTTCATTAGTTGGCTGAAAGAAGAAGTGCAGTCTTACTTGGTGGCCAGCACCATTTTCTTGCGTGCGTTCTGTTCCTTTGGTTCTGTGTGCTGGCGGGCCAGATGCTCCCCGACTGCTTTAGTGGGAAACTCAGTCTCACAGGTGTAACCAAAGTCTCTAGCCAGGTGCAACGCTTCTCCTGCATCCACAGAGAGCAGAGAAGAGGGAAATCACTACTTTCTCTAAATACTGCTTATTGCAATTGCATAGATGTTGCATCAATCTGTCTCATACCATTCTTATGCTCAAACTCTTCCCTTGAGTAATAAAGATTATGTCTGCAGACTAAAAATATTCCACTTTTTTCTTTTATGGCGGAACTGATGTGTGATTTAATCCTAATGATATCATCTTCAGCAAATATGAGGAAACTAAACCAGATGCATTCATATCCTGTGCAGAGATCTCAATTATAATTAACGAAAAGTCGAGTTTTACCTTTAGCATTCAACTTAACATCAAAAACAAAAGTTGATTTTATTCTTTATTTATTTATAAATAAATACTCAAATAATACTGGGTAAAGAACAAAACTGTGTTCAATGCCTTAAACCTACACAGCACTTAAAACAACGATAATATAAACACATCGCTGTAATATATTTATTAGGTATATGTTTATTATCTCAAAACTCCCATAATTTCTAAAATATCAGCCTCTACCAAATGTTGTTTTATGGTAAAAGTACCAGAATTAATACATACACTATAAAAGATATGAAAATATGAAGTGTAATTTATTTTTAAAAAATCAAAATAAAACACTATTGAATACCAAATCATCTTTATTTTTGAAGTACGCCATAAAATATTTCACATTGTCACATTTTACACGTTTTCTTATTAATTAATTAATTTATTTTAACAATAAAACCAAAATCAAGTGTAGTAGTGCAACAGGGTTATGTTTGTTAGATATTTTTGTAAACCAACAATGCTGTGTGTGAGCCATTATTTAAAACAGTCAGTATTTAAAGCAGTCAAGATATGGTCAACCATTTGGTAGAGCAGGCAGTTAAAGGGTTAATAAAGATAATTATTAAAACAGGGTATCCGCAGGGTCTTAAAAAGTCTTAATGTCTTAAATCTCAAAAGCTACATTATAGGCTTTAAAAAGTCTTAAATCTACCTAAATGTCATGTTGTAGGCCTTAAATCTTTCCTTTGTTCATGTATAGCTACCAAATCTGGCCATTAACACCCAGGCCATTAACACTTTTAACCAAGGATGCTCCAATTAAACAACCGATAATCACATTTCATGACTCGATTGGTAGTCGCCAATAATCTGGCCGATCTCATGGACCGATCACAGGTGTTTGTTTATGAGTTTACAAGCAGAGGAAGACGCACAAGCGCTCGCATATTATATATATATATATATATATATATATATATATATATATATATATATATATATATATATATATATATATATATATATATATATAGCCTAAGCCAAAGTAAAATCAATGAATGAATTGTTTTCTGTAAAGCTGCTTTTGGCCATGACATGTTCATACCTAAATGGTTATATGAGATGTGTTTAAGGTATTAAATGCATTGCAGCATCCTTCATTTATTGTCTTAGGTAAGGCAAGATCTTCTCTTAAGGTTCATACTTAGAGGGAAAGTGAGCTTTAATGCATTATAAAGTTTGAAGCATCAGAATCGGTACTCTGTATCGGCTGATCACCGTGACAAGGAATCGGTACTGCAAAAATCTTGATCAGAGCATCCCTACTTTTAACTTTTTATTCAAAAATAGCATTCAATTACTTTCCTTACAGAAACATTTGCTTAAAAGTTCTCCATTTATTCACTGCTGATGATACTGACCTGACCTATATTCTTTATTATTTATTAAATTATTATTATTATTATTATTATTATTATTATCGTAGACTGAAATAATTCACTGCTATAGTTTGTTTATAGTTGTATTGATTGGGTTAAAAAACAATCAGAATTTAGCCCTGTTTAAGTCTAAAATTTAATTCTTAATGGTCATAAAAATGTCTTAAAAGTCTTTAATTTAACTTGGTGAAACCTGCAGAAACCCTGTAATATTACAACTGAATTACAACAGATTAACAATCTTTTTAAACAACTTCTTCAAAGTAAACTTTCAATAGCTAAATAGTCTAGCTAATTTGTGCATTTCTCATAATATTACAATCATTAATACATATGGAGAGGTCTTGTGTTCCACTGTAAATATCTGAACATATACCTAAATCCATTTACATTTACTTAAGCAAAATAACTACTTTTTTCTGAAAAATGTATTCAAATTAAGTCAATTTAATCTTAAACAAAAAAAAATCTTCTTCAGGGATCAACTAAAATTCAAAACAAAAAACAAGATTATTTTCATGACCAAACTGAAAGTCATTTTCTTGCGTTAAACATTTTCAGAAAACAGGACTTCATATTTTCTCAAGACTTTAAGGGATAGTTCACCCAAAACCGAGCATTAATTTATGCGCCAATTACTTGTTCCACACCCATTTGAGTTTCATTTCCTGTTGAACAGTAAAGAAGATACTTTGAAGAATGCTGAAACCCTGTAACCATTGACCTCCATTGTAACTGTTCCTCCTACCTACTATGAAAGTCAATGGTTACAGGTTCCCAGCATTCTTCAAAATATCTTCCTTAGTGTTCAACAAGAGTAAAGAAACTTAAAAATTTGCAACCAATCGACGTTGAGTAGTTTTTCATTTTAGCGTAGACTAACCCTTTAATATTTTCTGGCGTACAGGACAATAAGCCTGATCATTTCTGCAATGTATTTCCACTATTTACTGCACTGCAACCAACTGAAGATTAAGTTAATCAGTCTTAATGTCAGCTAACATGCATCTGAAAACAGTCATGATATAAACCAGAGCCGCACAAATGAGTCCATACCTTCCACTAAAGAGGTCAAGAGTGTGACGTTGGCTGCTTTCCTGCGGCCTGCTGGGAGATTGAGTCCCAGTCTGTCCAGTTTCTCCCTGAGGCACCGGCCACCGTTCTTTGACTTGGCCCTAAACACACAGATGGAGAAAAGTCCATCAGCAACACTCATCGCATGTCTGTCATTCACATCCCCAGAAGAGCGTTTTCTGCCCAACATGCCAGTTTTTCCCCAAAACACTTCTACATTATTCAGCCTAAACACTCTACAAACCTACATTTCTGTGTGAACTCTAGCTGTGTGACATCTTTACATTTTTTAAGATCAGATTTAGAGGGATATTTCACCTTAAAATGAACATTGTGTCATCATTTTACCTTGTTTCAAACATTTATTAGCTTTTTCATAGGTTTAAATGCAAGAGAAGATATTGTGAAGAAAGCTGTGAGCCTGGAACCATTAACTTGACATTGAATTGCGTTTGTTTTTCCTACTATGGAAGTCAATGGTTACAGGTTTTCAGCATTTTTCAAAATATCTTCTTTTGTGTTCAACAGAAAGAAAGAAAGTGATAAACGTTTGGAACCACTTGTGTGTGATTTAAACAGTGAGTAAATTTTCATCTTTGGTGAACTACCCCTTTAATAATGTGGAAAAATCACAAAGCTTATTTTAATTTTGATACATTTCTAATCTAAAATGTTTAATAATAATCAATATGTAAATTTCATTTAATCTAAACTGAATTTGAGTGTTTTTCTAGTGCTTCTTGTGTTAATGAACCTGTGCATCAGCAGTATGAGTTGTCCTGTGTGTTTAAAACGAGTGTGTGTGTGTGTGTTTCTCTTCTCTTCTCGTCACTGGCCTCATTTCTGCTCTCCAGTCTGTGTCCCTCATCAATAATGGAGCCTCAGCTTCACTGTTCTCATTCCCTCTCCATCTCTCTCTCTCTCTTTCTCTATCTCTCACATACACACACATCCAGCCTTTATCTCTGGATTTACTGTCCTGGACTCCATGTCCCATCTCTTTATCCTCTTTCTTGCTTTGTTTTGCCAATTAGAAATTAAAAAATAGCAGGAACGTCATTCAATTCCATTAATTATATTTCAGTGTCTTGTTTTAATCCTCTTAAATCTCTTTAGGATTGCAGAATTTCATGCAACATGCATGGAGATCTTTATTAAATTGACAGGCAAATGTGTGCCAGCAAACACTCCCTGCTTCTCTCAGGACTCACAGCTGTAATACACTCTTACATAGGGGTTTGCAATGCTATGGAATAAACATGTTGCCTCCTCCATTTATTAAATGAATTGGTTTTAAATTAATAAAATACAAATAAATATAATCTTTTCCATTGTAAAGAACCTTTAGAGCAATTAAAATGTTCATTTGGAACCATCAAACAATAAAGATTCAGTTGTTTTAAATGTATTATTCTGTCATTTCAAATTGAGACTGATTCCCAGCTGTTCTTCTCTTTTACCTTCTTAATATTCCACCGAGTAGAGAAGCGTTGAGACACTCTGGAGGAGACAGGCGCCGTTTGACTTCAGCGATGGTCACTTTGTACTTTGAGGTAGAGCTGAGAAGAGAAAGTCTTCCTGGTACGGAGCAGAACAGGTCTGTAGGATTCACTACACATGTGCCACCTGTACACAAAGACAACACCTTCAGTCAGCCCTTTGCCTTGTCTGTTCTGTTTGAGGATGTGAATGACAAAAATCACCCAGATGCATGCAACAGCAATTTAAAAAAGGCTATTAATGTCTTATACAGGATCGCTTGGACAATAATTCAAAGCCAGTCGTACTTTTGAAAGCATGGGTTAAAGCTGTGTTGTTGATTTTGGGTGGATGAAGCGGAAGTTTACAAAGTTATCAAAATGAGCGTGTCATCGTGTTAAAATAAAGTTTCTGGAAAGAGGATTTTGAGGAGATGCCATAGTAGAACTATTTTAGGTTTTACAAAGAACCTTTCATTTCTTAATGCAGCATTTTTTTCTTAGTGCAAAAAACATTTTGATTAATCCAAAGAAACATCCTCCACTGAAAATATTTTTATGGTATGAATTGTGTGTAAAAGGGTCTATATGAAGAGTGTATTGTAGGTCATTTTAAAGTGAATGCTTCTATGATTTGAATAAGTCATGTGGTATGAGAGATTTTATAAACAGCACAGTCATTATATAGTTCAATAAGTAAATAAATCAAATGCTACTAAAACTCTAACTTCCAAAAGTATTTCATCTCAGCTACTTTTTTCCAGCTACTTATTATTTACCTAAAAGTTAATGTTGTCACATTTAATTTAATATACAATATGTGTTTATTAAGACGTGTCTGTCAAATCCATATGCATAAATGTGTTCAGGTTGTAAATGTGACATGTCCAGATTGCATTGGAATTAAAGGGTCAGCTAGTTTATTTAGCCACGTGTGTTTGTGTTTGTGTTGGAGTGTGAACGTGTGTGTTCCTGAAGGAGTTTTTTTGGCTAGTGGGCCTCAAACCAGCTCCTCATCAGTCACCCTAAAGCGCTCTGACAAACCCAAGATCTCTGCTAGCATGCAAGTTCACTTCACATTAATTCCACCCAAAATGTTTTGATTCAAAGTAGTTTGTATTTTATGTTGCCAAGGGCAATTGAAAAAGAGCTATTGCCGGTAGTCTGGTCGCGCGCGCCGGGCCCAGAGGCGATAGCGGGTATTTAAGCGCGAGGGAGAGTAGCCCGAGGCAGCGCGCGAGCGATCACAAAGCGAATCAAGCGCTTTTTGCGAGTTTGCCACAAAAATTAAAGAAAAAAAGACATAGGCCAAATGTCATTCTGTTTCTATTTCAACTGTAGTGATGGTGCGTGTTTACGGCGCGCGCCTCGCGCTCATCACCAGCGCCCAAACACACACACACACATGCGCGCGCATGAGCGAGCGAGAGCGCGCGCACAGTGAGAGAAAGATGCAGTCACACATTCAGTGTGTATGTGTGCGTGCGTGTGTGTAAAGGCGGGGTGAAGCTTGATCAAATTCCTGAAAGCTAAGAGGGATAATCATGATTAAAACACAGACGACTTTTCTAAGTAGGATCCTCGTTTCTTGAGTGATTTCTTTTGAAAAAGGTTATCTGAATATTCAACGAAGCCAAAGCTGCAGTCAGTGTGAACAACATTAATATGATCTCCACTGAATTTGGAGCCGCGCGGCATTAACATATCAAAGCGTGCGCCCGAGGCGCGAGAAGCTATCGATACCGGAGCGCGAGGTAAAGCAATGATTATTGGTTGTGATGGTTGGAGCGGCGGAGCTCGCGGCTAAATCCTGCACACCATTAACTGGAAGTGATGGCGAGCCCAACACCTAGACAGAGTTTATTAAAAATTAAGCGCCCAAGACACCGTTCGCTTTATGGCAAACTCCACATGTGTGTCGATCCACTGCTGCTTTGAAGACACAGACAAAGATGCGACTGATATTATGAAAATATTACGAAACGTGGAACACGATTCGATTCATCCACACAAGACTCACGATTTTACAAAACACAGCGGCAGACAGAAACTCTTCTGAGAACACCTCTCACTGGAGGATGACCTTGAGAAATGTATGTTTTCTCGTGGTTTTAACTTGTGAAATATATATATAGGCCCAGTGCCTTAATTATGGATTCCCTGAGTAATTAATGCATTTTCTCTGAGCTGCGTTAGTTGGAAAAATACTGTAATGCTAAACATATATAGACAAAACAAAACGTTTATTTCAATACAAGCAAAATCAAACAAATAATAATAATCATTGTTTGTTATATTATTTAAAAATAATGTTTGCAAATTGGTATATTGTACATGAGTAAATAAATAACCCTGATGCAAACAATTATAAACATACATTCTGCATTTAGCCAAATTAATTTCAAACGCAAAGCCGACATTGAAATGCTTTTAACTTCTTTTATGTATTGATATTATTATTATTGTTGTTGTTTATTTTTACTTGTACGTGTTTTACAATAACAACCGCATTAAATTACAACAATAAAAACATGCCTGTTGATTGACGTATAAATACTAAAAATGCTTGCTTTCATCGTAATTAAAATGTTACCATTTGCTTTTCTTTAAAGAGATTAAATATAAAGGCGCTAAATCTATATCTATATCTATCTATCTATCTATATATATATATATATATATATATATATATATATATATATATATATTTATTTATTTATTTATTTATTTATCTCGTCAATGGAAAGCAGTAGCCTATAAAATGTATTCAATAAATTGGCGATTTGTATATAATTTTAAATATTTTAAACTATATCTAGCAGACATGTCAATGAAAACACAATTAGAACTTAAAATAAATATATTTAAACAAATTAAAAATAAATAACTTTCTATTTGCGTGTGTATTTGTGACCTTACCTCTCCGGATCACACCACCTTGGCCATTTAACACGAGTCCGCATTGCGCGTCTACAGATCCCTAAACAAACAAACATAAATATCTGAACTTCATAATCCATAATGAACCATTCTTAAATATTGTGATGAGTGTGACACATTAAACAGAGCACGTGCTAACAGGTTGTTAAGTTTCAGAAGTAACGGCACCTGTTACATTATGATGTCAAACCAACAGATTATTATTTTACTTTCTCTTATCAGTGATGTCATCAGCCGAAGGAACATTGGATTGCATCAAAAGAAAAGAGTTAATCCGTCTCACGAGCCACGACCAGTCTGGAGGCCAAGTCAGACACACACACACACACTCTCTCTCTTAAAGAAAAAAAAAAGAAAAGCACACATATTTCACCCACACACTCACATCCATATTGACACCATACTGGCGTGCTCTTGTAACCCTTTAACAAACTCCTGCTCTATTTTTCTTTTCCCCGCAGTTAAAGTGATTATAAAATCAATATACAAACCCGTCGGATCAGGCATAAATTACGCGTGTGCGTGTTAAAGGTGCGGCAGCTTCTATTGTTCCGCGTGCCAAATCTGTTTAGCGGCTCAAAGATGCGCTTGTGCGCACGAGACTGCCCGCATCTGTTCCGCGGCCTTCACCGAGCGCACGGTTTCATTCAGCACCAAAGAAAGGTCCAAAAAGCTTTTCACGGGACGTATGTGTTGCTTTCTGTGTTTTTGTGTCTGTTCTCCTGTGGGTCTTTTTGTGTGCGTGTGCAGAATGTTCCTTAACACGCGACAGCAATACTAAAGAATCTTGCGTTTTTTTCTCAACACGCTTAAACTTACAGCTGTTAAAAGCGTTAAGAAAAAACAATATTATAAAAGCAGCACATTACAAAATTGCATTGTTACTACAAAATATTAAAGCAGTTTAGTACGAATGTTTTCGGACATTCTATACTATAGTACTGCAATATATATTGGAGTACTATAGCATAGATTGGAGTACATATAAATAAATAAATAAATAAATAAATAAATAAATAATTAAATATATATATATATATATATATATATATATATATATATATATATATATATATATATATATATATATATATATATAAAATATATATGCAATAATGTTAACCCAATATCAACCCCAGCTGTACTATTTTATTAGAAAACAATGCTTATTTTGCAAATGTATTTATATTACTATTACAATAGTTTTATCATACTATTATATTTTGCAAATGTTTTATATTACTTTCATATTTTTACTATTGTACTATTTTATTTTGCAAATGTGTATATTATTTACACATGCGCTGTAAAACATGCACAAAACAAAAAATATTATGTAACAAATATATGTTAATCAAAATATTAAAACAAGAGTGTGTACATTCATATCTATCTTGTAGTATAATTTGTATAATCCTACAGTTTAGATTACGTCAGCGTTATCATTCAAATCTATAATTTTAGTATACAATTATAAATATTTATATGCAGTGAAATAAAATTTCCAAAAAATAGCAATGTCTAAAATTATTTATTTCAATACATAAAATGTATTTCTATTTAAATTCGCCGTCGCATTGCGTTTTAAAAGCACTGGGTAATTATTTTGATCTTAACATATTTTTGACTTACCGGTTAAACTTGAGCTGTTTCAGATGTCTGTGCATAAATAACCAGTTGATTGACATTAAGTCCTAAATTGGATAAACTACGGTGCTCTACAGCGGAGGATTTGCCTTTTGTTCGCACTTTTTCAAGCCCTTAATCCGCCTTTTAACAGAGGAAAAAGAAACAGCGGCTTTACAGAAGCGAGGCCCGACATACGCGCAGACTTCTCAATATTCACTATATTAAATATGTAAAATCCGCTGGTTAAATCAACTCAAATGCGGTGCATCCAAACGTTTCCAAATGCAGCTTTAAAAAGTCTTTATTTCACGCATCGGTAATTTATGCGTTTCTCATGCACCGACTGTTATTTTTTCACTATGTATTTTCTTCGTTTATACGCAATTTATTTGTAAAGAGTAGCTTACTATTGTGCGTTATTCGATCAATTTATTCGTTGTGCGAAATCATCAAGGCCGCAAAAGGTGATCGCACGGCCTTCTTTTTCCGGATGTTTTTTTTTTCGAGCCCTCGGGCAATCATTTCTTCTGTTCGGGCAGTGAAAGTGACTATGCAACATCCCTGAAGGCGTCGACTTTTCTGCAGACGACACCGTTGAGCGTGTGTGTGTTTGTGTTTTGTGCTTGAACGGTAGAATGTCGGTGAGGTGTACCTGTAGGTCATCGGCCCCCGGTGGCGGCAGCCCCAGACCCGCCCCGGGCAGCAGTCTTTGCTCGGGGTGCATGCCGTACTGAGAGCCGTGGCTCATGATTGACAGGTCATGCCTGCGGTACGCGTCCAGGCAGCCCAGTTCCCTTCGCTGCTCGTCCAGGCACGAAGACTTGAGCGCCCGGGCGTTGTGAAGGTTGATGAAGTCCGCCGGTTCGCCGTGATGGAGCTGCTGGTAATACTGCTGCGAGTGATGCAGAGAGTTTAACGAGTACGCGTCCGGGTTCACGGCCGGGTGGCTGTGCTGGAACTCGTAGTGGAACGACTGGTGGTGTAAGGGCGTGTACTGGTGGTTCGTGGGAAAATACGGGGAGGCAAATTCGGTTCCGGTAGCTGGGTATGTAAGCGGAGACGATGAAGAGTAAGCGACAGACGAGTTGGCCACAGATTCCAAGCATCCGAGTTGCATCAAACGGTAGCTGTTTGATCCGTCGTGACGTATCTGTGCGGGGAAAAAAGAGAAAAATATGAGGGATGTCATTTACACGCGCTCGCAGCGATCCGCGCGCATTTCTCACGCGGCGGAAACTCAAACCTTCCCCAAACACACAAACACACACAGCAGCTCAAAGTGTCTTTAGAAAAGTACCTGACGGCGATGTCATCTCTCCGTGCCTGGGAGGGAGTGCGTGAAACACACTGCAAACTGCTCCACGAGCTCACAGCGTTTTTTCCTCCCTCACTTGTCTATCATTTGCCACGGAGTCTGTTATTTGACTATATTATTATTACTACGTCCGTGCAATCGCTATTAAAAGCCTTTTAGTCCCAACAATCTACGCCCGTTTCACCGCAGGTAAGCACAAGACACCAGGGTCTGCACTACTGCTGCTACTGAGATAATTATTATGATTGTTATTAAGAAATAAAGAAAGAGCAAATATAGTCCAAATCACGGCGGAGATATTTTATTTACATGAACCATCGAGAGCAATTTATATCAATGAGAGAAAAAAAACAACAACAAATATAGCACAACGTATTTTCAGCAGAACTGAATAGTTATCCTCGCCTTTGCAGCAAACTCCCATCACAAGTATTAACTTCCATTCCGCTGTGCTAAGCAATCACAAATTCCCCTCCATCCGACGCTACGCTAAATTAAATTAAATTAGAGGATTTTTGTGAAGTGGTAAGAAATGAATTTAAATACCTCCGCATCGTGCACCAGTCCCGGAAATGTGGCTGACATTCTCGCGATCCAATAACCCGATTTCCTCGCGCTGTTGGACGAATGAAAGAAAAAAAATCCCCAAAATAGCGCGTGAAAATGAAATGTCGCCTCGCGCTGTCGGTAAAAGCGGCTGAAATGCCTCCCCTCTGCACAAAGCGCTCCCTGGCTCGGATTTTGTACTTGCTGGGTATTTCTCCGGCTGATGTCGTAGGTCCCTTGGTAATATAGAAGTTTTGAAAATTAAGCATCAGCATTGAGGAAAGGGAGGACAATAGAGAGAGCAGCCTCATCCCTGGAGACACGGAATAAATATTGTATCTTCGCCTAATAAGGAACCAAGTGCGCTTTCAACATTTTTGATGATTTTTGTGGACATTTCTTTAAGGTCGTTTGTGCTTTCTTTAGCAGGGCCAGTTTTATTTGTCTCCGTTTTCCTCGCGGCTTTACCATTTACCTGCTTTTTGGATTTTTTTTCCCAACAACACGTAAGTTTAACTTGGTGTATTTTGTATCGCTGTTATTTTGCACGATTAAACATTTCTAAATTTCACTTATTCGTAATGTGGTCTCGGTTTGTTTTATCAATTACTTTTATTTTGATTTAGGAGAGAAGCGATTGCATGAAAGAAAAATTAATTGCAAATAATAACAGAACGAATTAAGAACACTTTTAACCACAATCACGCATTTTCTTTATTATTTTGATCGAAAACTTAATTTATAGATAATGTCGAGCGAAAACATTAGTGCAAGAATTATTTAAATACTGTTTCAAAGCTATAGTATATAAATAGTCTATTTTAACTCCCCTTTTCATCAGTTGTGTACATTAATCGACGCTATTTCTATGTAGTATTTTGCTTTTATATATTACTTTTATATAGTACTTTAGCAATGCCCTTTTTTTTGACAACATCCGCACTTTGTACACACTTTATGTCCAGTTTAATTACACCGCAGCCATTCCATTCAACATGTATCATTTGTGTTCTGTTCACGGCTAACGGAACCGGGACAGTGACGGTCTGACCCACGCTGGAAGTGTTTTGTGCACGTTTAGGATGATGAGTGGGGCGCGCGTGCATGGGGGGTCATCGCTCAAATCAACCTGTCGGTCAAATTTACGTTTTAAGAGCCACACAGGTGCATGAAAAGACACGGACAACCGTTTCACCCACGGTCTGCGATAAACTTCCTAATATGAATATTTAACTAGAAAAAAAATAATAAAATGAGTCATGACGTTTAACAGGAAACACTTTCAGCTGATGTACAAATGTGAGTGTGTGTGTGTGTTTAAGTGAGTACCAGTCATTTGCCTCGTTCTCACCGTTTCTGAAAGTCTCCTCCCTCCCCAGAAGCAAAATACCCGAGTTAAGGTTTTTTGTGTGTGTGTCTGCAAGAGGTTTGGCAATTTTTAAGCGTTTAAAAAGCTGATGCTCCTTATTTAACCCAAATTACCGCCATTACCGCGGGCTCGCGCCCTCGTGCATGAGAAGGGCGGACGGAGACGCCTCAAGCGCCCGGTGTCTCGCGCAAAGGGAGGATCCTCTCACACAAACATACACATATACTGACGTATTCCGCTTCATAAATCTTTAACTCACAAAACAACGTGAGAGAAGGGAAGCCTCATTTTATTTTCATTTAATGGGCGAGCTAAAACGGCTGATGTTGTTTTAAGTAGACATTATTGAGGAGGCCTACATCATTGGCTCTCTCTCTCTCTCTTTTTTCTCAGGCAAACAAAACAGAAAGGAAATGTGTGATCTCCGAACACCAGGACTAATTCAGATTAACATGACACAAGATACACTAAAAAAAGGATTTTTGCTGCTTGTTTAAAGTACTTGTTAGAAACAATTCTTGAGATTTTTTTTGGCATAACTTAATTATTTTATGTTTAATCCACTTTAAAAAAAAACAATTAACGTAAAAAAGTCCTAGTTTCCCTAATTTTCTTTACCCAAGCTAAATTACTTTTATTTACCTTCGGTTGAGCACAAAACAATATATTTAAGAAATCTGCAAACCTGAAACCATTGACTTCCATAGTAAGCTATTGATTTTTCCTATATTAAAGTCAATCGTTATAGCTTTTCAGCTTTCCTAAATATATCTTCTGTTGTGTTCAGCAAGAGAAATAAACTTATCAAGGTTTTGAACCACTCGAGGATGAACAAAGAGTGCATTTTAATTTTGGGTGAACTATCCCTTTAACCTAGCCAGTTTGTGTTGGGACAACTTGAATTCATTTGTGTGAAACCGTATAGACCATTTTTAGGGATGCAAACAATAATAGTCTTTTACATTTTTAATTTCCATAGCTTCCGAGAATCCAAAAAGACCAACATATTGATAAATAATTTTATGACAGACATTTAACGTCAAGTTATGATTAAATTGTCTCTTGTTACAATTAGGAAATAGTTTAACAAGCAGGAAATGTTCATAGGCAAATGAGATTAACAAAATGAAACGGTTCATAACAGTAATATTAAACGAATAGTTGGTAAAATAAACTTAAAATGTAAATAATTCAATAAAACGAGCAGGTTGTTGTGCCATAAATGCACTTTAAAGGTCTGGGGGTGACATAGGAAACGAATCGCCCAGCAGGAGGCTCTTATGAAATAACACGGTCTGGTTTCAGATATATATCTAAGGCCTCCAGGCAGACTGTAAATTACACGATGTGAGCGCGAGAGAACCCGTCCTCTCACGTGAGGGATTAGAAGCTTTCGCTTGTGTAGTCTGCGAGTGCTCGCGGGATTGAGCGAAGCACCAGTTGCACGGTAGACGGTCTTAATAGGGCTTAACGCGCACAACAGCGGATGCACATATGCACGCTGTACCGGTCAGGGCTCGAGTCCATCTGTTCGGTCTGGATGCTCCTCGAGATGGTTCCACTATACGTAAATCCGCCGCCAATCCACGCAAAATTAGAAATAAAAATAACAGATGCAAAATGAAACTTTTTTTAAAGAGGAGGTGTCCATCCCAGTTTGGCCCAGAGTTAACTGTAATTGATTTAACATTGGATTAAAAGCGTCGCAAACTGTTACTAGCAGCTGGCCGCCACCGGATCATAAGATCTGTCATTTGGAGCAGCAACAATCAGAAGCCAAGACAAATATTCTGGTGACTCTTAAAAACCTCAGTTGACTTGTAACCGCGTAAACATACAAGCTCAAGTGGTTTTGTCGACATTCATACATAAATGAGATTGAGTATAAGTTTTAAACATACTAATAGAAATATAAGAAATACTGATATTAATGTATAAACAGTGAACTTATCCAACTTAGCAATTTATGAAAAGTTCAGATAGCTAGAAATGTCTTAATTTGTAATTGCATAAAATGTTAAATTATTTGATAAAATTGTTCAGATTTAGCTACGTTGTTTACCTCTGTAGATTAAAAAAATCTGACTACTTTATTTAAACAGAATATTTAACAAATAAAGTTGCTCAAATTGTTGCCTTCCCCCAAATATCAGGTTGGCACCGCAATCTATCAGCATCCAAAACCCACACTGCTTTGTTAATCTGGAGATAGACAGGTAAAGAAACTTATTTTAATTCAAGCTCTATGTCGACAATGCAGTTTGTCTCACACTGACCACTTGTCGAAAACACAGTCAAATGAAGTTCATCAGTCGTGGATGTGAGTGATGCTCAATATGGTGTCTGCGTCCGTTAGATAACGGCTCTCTAGCTTTATACACTGCAAAACACCAAATAAGGTGTTTATGAGATAATTATAATTAAAAAGTATACGCAGCCCTCATCGATGTGACCTACATTCACCACACACACATCCACACACAGTTTTATATGCTAATAGATTTGGAGGGGGAGGGGCGCAGCGTCAGTTTCAGCGCGTGGTGTATTTGGTGGATTTAATGAAGTGCACTAAATTAATTTTCTCAGAGCCAGGCGAAATTTTTAACCAAATAAAATCCATTAGGTGTTTAACGAATATTTCAATGTAAATCATGCAGATTATGCCATGACAAGTTAGGTGTAAATTAAAAAAAAAATCCAGGATGACCCTTATAGTTAAGGCAGAATCACAATCAATAGCGAACGAGTGCAATCATACAGTAAACTGGTGATCAAAAACGAACGAGAGGATTTTAACCACTACTAATAGCTGTAACAGATTTCCTCCAGTGTCTCAAATCTGTCACAATATGAGCTAAATGTGGCGTCTTGACAAATGACCAACTGCAAACTCATTTCAGCAAGTAAACAAACAGCACTCGAGTATTATTTTTCCTTGACTGAACTAAACTGAATCTTAAAAATTAATTTAAATCTAGACACGTGCCAGATGCGCGCAAAATGAGCGTTAATTAAAAGAGCAATCTGCCAAAATAACGGAAGAGCACTGACACACTAACGCGGACGCACACACACACAACAAAAGTCACAACAGCGTAAAGAAGGCCTTGCAATTTACATCCTATAATGATAACAAAAATATAGCTAGTGTGGTAAATAAAATGCATATATGCTCCTAATTTTAACAAAAATGAATGTCAAAGCATATCATTTTCATGGTGCTTATGATTTCTGATATATTATAAATCCTGCAGACGAGCATCTGCTCGTTTAACTTCTGTCATAATTTGTTTCCGTCTCATTTCTTCATTAGTTCCGAGTCAAATGCCCGTTACAGACAGAGCGTTACGGTCCGGTGAACTCACCAAACTTCTGGAAGCGACGCTCCGGTCGGGTTTTAGAGCAATGAAAGGCTTTACCATCATTCCAACACTGTACATTAATCACAACACGCCTCATACACCCACATCTTCATTTATGTGCTAAAATGGGACTCATCTCAAAATCAAAAACACTCCAACAGCTTGTGGAATTGGGCTGCAAAAGTCACATTAAAGTCCATTTTAGGCATGGAAAAGGATCAATACTCTATTATGTTCACCAGAGGC